TCTAGATGGGGAGCAACCAATGGTTGCATCAGAGAGGACCACTCATAAGCTTTTATGACACCAAAGCAGGATGTAAAATATTGTCTTTGTAGGCTATGCTATGCCAATCGACTCATATGTCTTCCATAACTGTGGTCTTAAGTCTCCAAGCCTAATGACTCATTCCCTCTAGGTGTTTGATTATGGCAAGGAAGTTTTCAGACTTTGACTCCTAAATCTCTTTGGATACCATATTAGTAGTATACACAAAGGTATATATAGAAATATCCTCTGCCATACTTATATGTATACTGTGGTAATACTCCCACTCCCCTCCCCACATCTGCTTAGCTTGAATGTATACCTACGTATCTACTCATAGATTATTGGTTGTTATGACTGTTATTGCAGGATTGTGTATAAGAATGTTTCAAAAAGTTCATAAAACAAATCCATTCTTTAAAAATTCCATTTCCTAATGAACTTTTTGAAGTCCTTTTGTATGTAATAGTATTCACCTTCGTTGTTTTTACTCTTGTGCACCTTCCAGGGTCTTCCTTTGCCTTAATCATATTGTGCTGACCTCCCCCTTATTGTATGTTACCTTTCCTTTCACCCAACTTAATACATGTGTATAGATTGTATCATTTGTATATCAGGACCAGGTTTACTGATCAAAAAGAGACTGGAGGAACCAGAGACTATGGCCCTTGGTCATCCTCAGGTCTGAAAGTGAACTTACCCTCAAGCAGTGATGGGTATGCAGGGGAGAAACAACACTAGTGAGAGATGCACAACTAGAATAGTCAGTCATTTGAGACTAAAGGGGCTGAATTTATCTAAGGACAAAATTCTGAAGGGCTGGGAAAAAGGAGGAATGTAAACAACAAGAACCACCGGGAAAGAGTGCGATTTCTGATGTTACTTGGAAGGGATTGCAGTCCTTGAAATGAAATAAAGTATATGATTTGTTGAATGTACAATTGATCTGCTCTGTAAGCCTTTGTTTTGTTTTCGTTTTTTTCTTTAAAGGTCCTAGACAGAGTGGGAGAAAATATAGGACAAAACGCAAAAATTACAAAAGATACCAGATTTACTGGTCAGATAGAGACTTGTAGAACACCTGAGACCATGTCACCCTTTAGGTCTGAGTGTGAACTTGCCCCTGTCTCCTGCTCAATTTTCAGCTCAACAATAGACAATTCTTTAAGGGGAACAAGAGCACTAGTGAGGTAAGCACACTTTAAAATAATTAACCATTGAGATCAAAAGGGCATCATTTCTTCAAGGACCAAGTTTGGAAGGGTTAGGAAAGAAGGAGGAATGGAAACAGGAAACACAGGAAGGAAGTGGGATGAGTGATGTTACATTGAGGGGATTGTAATCAACGAGATGAAGCAAAATGAACTGGTGAATACAAAACTGACGATTTGTTCTGTAACTCTTCACCCAATTCTCAATAAAAATTTTTAAAAATTACTTTATCTGAATGTTCAAGATTCTGGAAATTATATTCATTTAGCCAAAAATGAACACTTCTTGATAAAAATGTCAAAAGCACACACTTGAGCTTTGGAGCAGTAATATAACATTAAAAAGTTTGTGGCAGGGGCTTGACAGCAAGCAGAACCACTGAGATGGCAGAGTCCAGCTGTCATCCCTGTGCTCAGGGCTTAAGAACTGGAAATGGGGTAGTTGAAATACAATAGAGGGGCTAAGAGAAAGTTTGGAGAAAGTAAGCAGAGAGGAATGGCTTCTTATTAGTGGAGCATGGTAGTTCTGTAAGGAGTCCCTGGTGGCACAGTGCATTAAGCATTGAGATATTAACCAGAAATTTGGTGGTTCAAGTCTACCAGCTGCTCCACAGGATTGTTCCTGTGTGACAGTCTGCTTTCATAAAGATTTTCAGTCTTGGAAACCCTATAGGGGCCATTGTCCTCTGTCCTGTAGGGTTGCTGTGAGTCAGAATTGACTCAGTGGGAGTGAGTTCAGGTCGATGGTTCTGTATTGGTAGGCAGATTGAGGAGTACCCTAGTACTGCTATAGGAGTGAGGACAGAGTTGTATGCATTTGTGTGAGTGGAAGGGGGAGATTCTGGTAAAGGGATAACTTCACAGATTTTCTGCATGCTATATCTCAACAAAGAAAGGGCAGGCCCTAAAGTGCAAGCTGAATGTTGATCATGAGCTCTGCCCATTGAACACGAAGAACCCTGAATTTGGTCACATGTACCCTTAAGCAGATCCCTTCATGCTTTCTTTAAAGAGCTATAGGCTGACTTCACATCCATTAGGATGATGACAACAACAACAATAATAAACGAAAAATAGCAAGTGTTGTTGAGGAAATAGAGAAATTTGAACACTTGTACATGGTTATTGAAAACATAAAATGGTTCAGTCACTGTGGAAACAGTTTAGCAGGTCCTTCAAAAGTTAAATATAGAACTATCGTTGTTGTTAAGTGCCGTCGAGTTGGTTCCGACCCATAGCAACCCTGTACAGGGTTTCCGAGGTTGTAAATCTTTACGGGAATAGAAAGCCTCATCTTTCTCCCGCGGAGCAGCTGGTAGTTTCGAACCGCTGACCTTAAGGTTCGCAGCCCGATTCGTAACCACTACGCTACCAGAACTATCATATAACCCAACAATTGTACTCCTAAATATGTGCCACAAGAAATAATGACAAGTATTCAAACAAGTCCATGTATGCTCATGTTCATAGCAGCACTAGTCACAATAGCCAAATGTCTATTAATGGATGAAATGATACGCAAATGGTAGTATAGTCAAACAATGAAACAATTCTTATCCACAAAATTGAATAAAGCATGAATACATGCTCTAATGTGGATGAACTTCAAAAATATTAAGCTAAGTGAAAGAAACCAGACACAAAATGATCACATGATTCTACTTATATGAACAATTCAGAATAGGTGAATTCAGAGAGACAGAAAGCAGATTAGTGGTTGTCATGGGTTAGAGGGAAGGAGGAATTAGAAAAGGTGAATATGTTTTGGAATTAGATAGAGGTGGTGATTGTACAATATTGGTAATGTATTAAACCCACTGAATTACTCACTTTAGGATGGTTGTTTTTGTGTTATGTGAATTACAGCTCAATAAAAAAGGGGGAATGAGAAAAGCCAAAAGTGGAAGGCAAATGAAGTAGTAGAGTCAGACACAAAGGTGTGTTTAGGTATGCCTGGTAAGGTATATGCCCTTGAAGGGTGGTGCCACTGAGCAGTTTTTATTATACATTGAGATTTCCATTGCCAACTGTGAGTGATCATCAAGCAATTTGAATTAATTGCCATAGGCACAATTTTCCATAGATATTCCTGTGGTCAAGCATCCCCCACTCTCTCTCATTACTCTGGGAGTTCAAGTTGCAGGCTGCGCCCTCAGAGTGGATCTGACCCCACTGGTGTCCAGACTTGCTTTTCTGAAGGAACATGCAAGAGATTTTGGGGACAAGCTTTGGGCCTCAGAAGCAGAGATGGTAAAAATCCTGGTCTACTGTAGTGATGCTTTGGAAGGCCTTATCATATGACATAGTCTCAAAACTTAGGCTTCCTATAGTCCAGATCCACACCCTTATATAAGTGTCCCTCCGAAGGCAGATAATCTTCCAGAAATCTAAAATTGCTGTCTTCCTCTGTAAACGGCCTGCACAAACCAAAATCTGCAATCTGGACCTCTCCTCTGAGCACAAAATGTGGGTTTATGAGCTTAATGATTCTGTGAATAGCTTTGTCTGATGGCAATAATGCTGTTGTGGTGGTTAGAGGCCAGTGAATCGGTTCTGACTCATCGTGACTCCATGCATAACAGAACAAAACACTGCCTCATCCTGAGCCACCCTCACAATTGTTATGTTTGAGCCCAGGGTTGCTGCCACTGTGCTAATCCATCTCATTGGGAGTGTCCCTCTTTTTCACTGGCCTTCCACTTTTCCAAGCATCATGTCCTACGGGGACAGGTCCCTTCTAACAGTATGATCGAAATATGAGAGTCAAAGTCTCACCATTCTCACATCTAAGGAGCATTCTGTCTGTACCTCTCCCAAGATAGGTTTGTTTATCCATCTGGCACTCCATGGTACTTTCAATGTTCTTCACCAACACCATAATTCAAATGCATCCATTCTTCTGTGATCTTCATTGTCTAACTTTCACATGTATATGAGGCAATTGAAAATACCATGGCTTGGGTAAGGCACACCTTAGTCCTCAAACTGACATCTTTGCGCTTTAATAATGTTAGTAGTTACTAAGAGCATTGAGACTGTGTGTGTGATGGAGGTCAATGTGTGTGCTGCTGCTCTTGAGGGTTTTTCCCGCAAGACATGCTGTGAGCTAGATTTATTGTCAGAGTAGACATGGGGTGGGATGTTGGGTGTTGCAGATGAGTCAGGATTTTTCTTCTCTGATATTTTATCCTTAAACAAGCAAGCAAACAAATAAAAATACACAAACACCCCAAACCAAAAATACACAAAACACCCACTGCCATCAGGTTGATTCCAACTCATAGAAACCTTATATAGGGTTTCTGAGACTGTAAATCTTTACATGAGCAAGCAACCTCAATTTTCTTCCTCAGGGTGACTGGTGGGTTTGAACTGCCAACCTTGCAGTTTGCAGGCCAACATCTAACAGTGCTACCAGTTACACATGAAAAATGTTGACAGATTTTGTTTGCATAAATGATGCCATTTTAAATCAACAAATGTCAGATTATTACACTTTGTTGTTGTTGTTAAGTGCTGCTGAGTCAGTTTGGACTCATACCGACCCTATATGAGGTTTCCAAGGAAAAACTGGTAAATTTGAACCACCATCCTTGTGGTTATCAGTCTGTTGCTTATTCAATACCTCTACACCAGAACTCCAATTATTACACTAGCTGATGTATAGTAAGCGTCTTGCCTGTAAGTAAGGCCATTTCTTCCTTTCTCCCAACCTAAGAACTGATGACCTCACCTTGGACATTTCTTGTTTTTTTCCTGCCCCCACAGGAGACATACTTCCTGCTCCTCAGCAGAAGTGTACTGACTTCCAGAATGCCAGTTTCCTCCGAGGCACCAATCTCAAAGTCCAATTTCTCCTCTTCACCCGTTCAGATCCTAGCTGTGGGCAGCTAGTGGAAGAAAGCCACGACCTCGAAAACTTTGGGTTCAATGCTACTCTGGGAACTAAACTACTTATCCATGGATTTAGGTGAGAGTTAACCAGCCAATGGTACCTTCAGCTAAGAACCAAAAAGTATCCATAAACTTAGGTTGATTCTGAGCTAAGAAGTGAAAGAGTGGTGAGCAAGGGCAAGAATGGATTTACTGACTGTCACATACTCTATCCCACACCTCGTTCTGTCTTTGAAGGTGTTGCACTTCAGCAAACAAATACATTATGTTTTTGAGTCTTGTTAGTCATTTACATTGCTCTTCCGTTCAGTCTTGTCTACTCACTTATAAAACACTAAATATCGTGACCCTGAACAAGCCACTCAGAAGAAAGTGGAGGTTGAGGTATGGTATTTGTGGTTGTTTTCTCCCTGAAGTGCAATTGCATGTGCATGACACATCTCAGCAAATGAAGTCATAGGCTTTGTGTGGTCATTCAGGAGGTAGCAACATGATGCTTTCAGCTAAGGTTTTATTTCTTCACTTCCGTGGTTTTATGGCCTAAGAAACTGGTAATACTTTCGTTACTCCCCGAGATTCATGTTTCTCAAAAGCTAGGCATTTCGCTTCTACAGTTTCTCTGATGCCCTGTAGTCCAAATGTTTTCTATTATGTAGTCAATGAGTTTCAATCACCAGTTTTCCCTCTAACGCTTTCTCTCTAGAATGCACTGAAAAAATGAGAAGCAGAGAAAGGGTGCTAGGAGGAAAAATGGTGAAAGAACAGAATTGGTGTCACAGTGGGCTGCTAACTGAAAAATCAGCAGTTCAGACCCACCAGCTGCTCCTCAGGAGAAAGATGAGGTTGTCCGTTCCCACAAAGATTTACAGTCTGTCCTACAGGGTCACTGAGTCTGAATTGACTGGGTGGCAGTGAGTGTGAGAGAGAACTGGAATTGTATCCAATGAAGAAGTAGAAACAAGGGCACTCCACAGAGGATCACCATTTCTGATCTCTGAATTCTCTCTGACTCTTAAGTCCTTGGGTTTCAGGGACCCAGCCACACATTGCCTTTGGCATTTCACCTGTTCTTGTGTTAAATCTCTCTCTAACGGTGTTAGATGCAACCTCTATCCATGGCTGACTATGTGTTCCTAACCCAGGAAGAGCAAATAAAGCTGAAGAAGTTGTCCAGCCAGTTACTCAATCTTCTTCTCAATCCCATGAAGTCATAGTCCACATGAGTACACGCTGATTGTCTCCACTCCCTGAGGCCCTAGGAAAACCACTTCCCTAACTCCAATCTATTGGAAAAGCTTAGTGAAAATATTTATATTATTCTGGAAGGATAAGGACTATATTTTATTTGGCTTGCTTTTTTTTTTGAGAACCTGTATATT